TACGAATATTAAAAGAAATAAAAAAACATTAGGGGCTTAAGGCATCAGTCCCCCCTTAGAGACTGGACAAAACCCAAAGGTCTTGTCCAATCTCTACTACCTACACCTACAACAACTATAACATCGGTGCATGCAGTGAGCTATTACACTAACGCTAAGTATGTACAATACTAAAATAAACAGTTGTTTCATCCATGTCCAGTTCGGTAACCATGAAGTGAGTTTGTGGAGGACATCTCCTAAACCTAGGGAGACATCATCTAGAGATATTTGATGTAAGATGTTGGTTTGATTTCGGATTGCAGCCAAATCATTATTAATTCTACCAGTCTGATCTATGTAAGAGCAGCAGCTGGTATTGATGGCTTTACACACACCTCCTTGTGAGGCTAGTAAAAAATTGAGGGCTATTCACTATTCTCATCATCAATTGCTGGTACTTGAGTACAAATCCAGCATTCAGTTTTCCGGAGAATTTTAGATACGTTTTGGACTAGGGCCACATGTAGTTTTTGGTCCCAAACTCGGTTCATAGTTACCAGTTGCACGAACAGAATACACAGAACAAGCAGTCTATTCCACATCTTCGTCATCAGTGTCCGGTTCTGATTGGTTGGTCGTTCCAGGAGCTGATGCTCTCTTGACTCTGGAGTAGTGGAACCAGGGTTCTCTGCCAGCAACCTTGACGGCGGTGAGGGAAGTCAGCAGGACTTGGTATGGTCCTCTCCACTTGGCTCGCAAGGGGTCACTGTTCCACCACTTGACGTAGACCCAGTCTCCTGGCTGGAATGGGTGAGCAGGAGTGTCCAGTCCTATGGGTCTGGATAACTCGATGACCTTCTGCAGCTTCTGCAAAGTAGAGCCTAAAGCAATCAAATATTTTTGTAAATCGGCCCTCCCTCTTAAGTGTACATCCCCTGGTATGTGTGGTGCCTGATATGGTCTTCCATATAGTATTTCATATGGGCTTATGTTATCTCTCCGCTTCGGCTGGATACGAATCCTCAGCAGAGCTAGTGGCAAAGCTTGAACCCAGGACATAGATGTTTCTTGACAAATTTTACTTATTTGCATTTTCAAAGTGCCATTCATTCGTTCAACTTTGCCACTAGCCTGAGGTCTATAGGGGGTATGTAGGTCCCAGACAATTCCCAGGATGCGGCATACTTCTTTTACTACTGTCGCAATGAAATGTGTTCCTCTATCTGATGCCATTCCTAGAGGAACCCCAAACCTTGGAATTACGTGGTTAAGTAAAGCTTTTACCACTTCCCTTGCTGTGTTAGTGCGACAGGGGTATGCTTCAGGCCATCCACTGAAAGTGTCAACTAATACAAGGATGTATTTGTACCCCCCCCATGGTGGTAACTCAGCAAAATCTATTTGCCAGTAATCTCCGGGTTGGTCTCCAACTTTTGTTACCCCTAGTACCACTCTCTTTGATGTATCTGGGTTGTTTCGTTTGCAGATTTCACACTTACCTACTATGGACTGCACAACTTCAGTCATATTTGTTCCTATTACTGTTTTCTTTAGATGTTTCAGGAGGTTTTCCGTTCCCCAATGGGTAGCCTCATGTTCCTGTTGAGCTATTTCCCTAAGGAGCGGTGGTGGGACTACAACCTGTCCAGTAGGGGTAACAGCCCACCCCCCTTCTTTGATTTCAGCTTTCAGTGATCTAATTAGCTGATTGTCTTTCTCATCATACTTAGGGGTGTATTTGGTCAGATCAATTTCCTTTTGTGGCACTATTGCCAAGATGCCTTTTTCTGCAGCCCCTTTTGCTGCTTGATCAGCAAATTGATTTCCCAACTCGGGAATTGTTTTCCCCTTTTGGTGGGCCCTGCAATGCATAATAGCTACCTCCTCTGGTTTCCAAATACTCTGCAGGAGTGCATGGATTTGGTCTGCATGCTTGACTCCACTGCCTTGGGCTGTCAGTAGTCCTCTTTCTTTCCAGATCGCTCCGTGGGCGTGTACAACACTAAATGCATATTTTGAGTCAGTCCAGATATTTACCTTCTTTCCTTCACTCAGTTCTAAGGCTCTTGTCAATGCGATTAATTCTGCTTTTTGGGATGACACATCTGCTGGCAAGGCTTTTGCCTCGATCACTTCGTCTCTGGTCGTCACTGCATACCCTGTGAAGCGCTTACCATCTCGCATGAAGCTGCTTCCGTCTGTATACAGTTCCCAGTCTGCATTTTTCAGGGGCACATCTTTCAGGTCTGGTCTGCTGGAGTAAGTCTCCTCTATAGTCTGTAAACAGTCATGCTCGGGGACACTGTCGGTTAGTGTTGAAGACAGAAACATAGCTGGATTTACAATGGATGTTGTTTTCAAAGTAACATCGTCTTGTTCCAGCAACACAACCTGGTACTTAAGCATTCTGCTGGGGGACAGCCAGTGGCCTCCCTTTTGTTCAAGCACAGCTTGAACTGCATGGGGTACATATACAGTGATATGCTGCCCAAGGGTGAGCTTCCGGGCTTCTTCAATCAGGATAACAGTTGCTGCAACAGCTCACAGGCACCCCGGCCACCCTTGGCTGACACTGTCTAGCTGTTTAGAGAAATAAGCCACAGCTCTTCGTTGGCTTCCTAGAGTTTGCGATAATACCCCCAGAGCAACATTCAACTGCTCGTGTGTGAACAGTTCAAAAGGTTTAGTCAAATCTGGTAATCCTAGTGCTGGAGCTGACATCAAGGACTGTTTCAGTTGTTGAAACACATTTCTGGTCTCATCTGTCCATGTTACAATTCCCTCTTTGGCCGTTTTCAGGGCTTCATACAGAGGTTTGACTAGCAACCCATAGTTAGCTATCCACAGCCGACACCATCCTACCATTCCCAGGAAAGCCTGCATCTCTCGTACAGTGTGGGGCTCTGGGAGACGGCAAATGGCCTCTTTTCGGTCTGTACTGAGTCGCCGATGCCCACGATAGATTTCAAGTCCCAGGTAGATGACTATCTCCTTGGCTATCTGTGCCTTCTCTCTCGAGACCCGATACCCACTTAGCCCCAAAAAGTTCAAGAGACTTACAGTAAGCTCGATGCATTGGTCCCGGCTTTTGGCTGCAATTAAGATGTCGTCAACATACTGCAGGACAACTCCTTCTTGCTGCTGTCTTCTCCAGTCCTCCAGTTCCTTTGCCAACTGATTTCCGAAAAGTGTTGGTCTGTTCTTAAAGCCTTGTGGAAGAACTCTCCAGGTTAGTTGCGTTTTTCTCCCTGTCTCAGGATTTTCCCACTCAAAGGCGAAAATCTCCTGGCTGTCTTTGTGTACAGGAATGCAGAAAAAGGCATCTTTAAGATCGAGTACAGTGAACCATCCTAAATCCTCTGTCAATGTGGTTAACAGTGTATAGGGGTTGGCTACCACTGGGTAAATGTCCTCAGTTATTTTATTGATGGTCCTAAGATCCTGGACTAGCCGATAGCTTTTGCCATCGGCCTTTTTCACTGGTAGGATGGGGGTATTAAATCTGGATTCACATTCTACTAGTAAACCAAATTTAAGGAACTTTTCAATTATAGGTGCTAGGCCTTTTCGGCTTTCTAATTTCAAAGGATATTGGTTTTGCCTTACCGGGATTGCTCCTGGCCTGAGTGCGATGCTTACTGGTTCAGCTTGCTTTGACTTCCCAGGGTACTCGCTGGCCCAGACTAAGGGTATGACAGCATTTTCTATTTCTGCGGGGATTTCTCCATGATTTTCCTGTATAAAGAAAGCAGCTGCCTCGATATATTTAGTATCTGGGATTATAACTTTTATGTCTCCCCCCTTGGTGAATTTAATTTCGGCTTCTAATTTTTCAAATAAGTCTCTACCCAGTAAAGGCTTAGGAGAATTTGGCATGTAAAGAAATTGGTGAGTTACCCAGTGCTTGCCCAATTTGAATTTTAAAGGTTTAAAAAATGGCCTTGTTTCACTTACCCCTGTAGCACCTACCACAGTTACAGTTTCATGGCTCAATTTCCCTTCTAAAGTATTTAAAACAGAGTATGCCGCACCTGTATCAACCAAAAATTCAACACTTTCCCCTCCCAGCCTAGCTGTAACCAGAGGCTCTGCTGGGGAAGAAGCCTCCGGTCCCCCTCATACATTCTGACCCACAGTCAGTTGGGGGGCTGGTGGTGGTGGGGGAAGTGGGTTTTCAGTTCCCCTCAGCTCCGGGCAGTCTTTTCTCCAATGTCCCTTCTTCTTACAGTTAGAACATCTGTCATCTGCTATGCCCTGTCGACGGTTAGACCTGTTATACCTGTGGTTACGTCCATGAGGCTCTCTATAGCCACCTTCTTGTTCCATCACCCTTGTTTTCCTTTTCTGCTCCCTATTTTGATATACCGTCCAGGCTATATCTAACAGCTCACTAATATCCTTTTTATCACCACCTGCTTTTTGCAGTTTTCTTCTTATATCATCTGTGGACTGCCCTACAAATAAGTATACCAGATTTTTCTTTCCCATATCTGATTCAATGTCTATGTCAGTATATTTCCTGATAACATCCTTTAATCTGTTCAGAAAATCTGTGGGTGACTCATTTATGTCTTGTCTAACGTCGTACATTTTGGACCAGTTCACCGCTTTTGGAACTCCATGCCGAAATCCATAAATTACCCAGTCTCGATAACGTTTCAAAGCTTCTAAGTTTGCTGACACGTTCGGATCCCATCCGGGATCCGTGAGGGGGAAGATATCTTTGATATCCTCGCCTGGAAACTGCCCAGAGGTTTTTAGCATCTCTATTGCCTTTAGAGCAGCTCTTTTCACCATCTCCTTCTCTGTTTGGTCTAATAGGGTATCCATCATAACCTCTAGATCACACCAATCAGGATTCTGAGTTTTGATTGCTCTTTGGACATAATTTGTCATTTTTTCTGGATTATCTCTATATGCCCCCACACAATCTTTCCATTGCTGTAACTCAACCAGTGAGAAAGGAACCTTTATTAATACCGTGCCTTGATTGGTCACGGCTTGTCTTAAGGGGGCTTCTAACGGTGGCTTGTCTTTTGCTCTTGTTCTACTTGCAACCGGGTCGGGGACTGCTAACGCTTCGCGGACCCTCTTCCCCTTTGGTCTTACAACAGGCAGGTCTGCTTCTCCTTCCCCCGGACTATCACTTAATTCACCCTCTGCTTCCGTGGCCTTATCAAACGGTGGTAAACCTCGCTTCTCCCTTCTCTCAGCAGCTGAAACCGGCTTGCCCTGTCTATGTGTCTCTGTTCCCTCTTCATGAGGGGCAGAAATTGGAAACTCTCTAGGTTCCTCTTTTCTCCCCCCTTCCGGAAAGGTGGAATGGCCCCCCTCGGGAGGGGGAAGCGTGGGAAAGGGGGCGGCTCCAGCTCCACCCCCCAAGTCAGTCAGGACAGAGGCCCCGCCTGTTGGCACCGCCCCTGCCCCTCCTGGAATTCCAGGGGTTTTGTTCCTGCTGCCGCTCCTGGGGCCCCTCCCCACGCCGCCGCTGCAGCCGGGGCTGGCCCCAAGCCTGTTACTCCCGCAGTGCCTGCTCCTGTACTCGTTGCCATGGCAGTAAGTCCCGTACTAACCGTGCCCGGGGCGGCTCCCGCCGCCCCCGAGCCAACTCCTCCGGAGATTCCAACTTGTCCAGCTCCACCCCCCAGCGCAGCCATACCCGCGCCAGGGAGCCCCCCCACGGCTCCTGCCTGCCCAGCCGGAGCCGGTCCAGGAGCCGCCACCCCGGCAGCCCCAGCCCCCCCCGCTGCCGCTGCTGCGGGGAGTCCAATTTGTGGAGCTCCCGGGCTGCTTTCTCTCCTGTCAGGTGATATCAACATGTCTAAATCATCTTCTCCGGTGTTCTTAAATAGGATTTGTGGGACAGGAGCAGCCTCAACTCGATTTTTCCTTTTCCCTCTTCCTAAAGCCATCTCTGCTTTTTCTTTCTCTCTTGAACTTTCGTTTTTCTTATCTCCTACACCTAATTGAGGGCGTATTAACAGGGACAAGAACAGCTCTGCATATTGAATTTCCTGCCACCTCTGTTCCACATGAAGAAGCGAGATCAACCGAAACACTGTACCTAGTTCTAACGGACCAAATTCCGGCCACGCCACCCCTCTCATTCGTCCAAACAACGGCCAGGCATCCATACACAGCCTACACAATTCTTCCTTCTTTAAAATTGTCTCAGGACCAGCCAAAGTTCTCCAATGCTTCAACACCAGACTTAGGGGGGATTCTTTAGGGATCTCAACTTTTGAATCCACACAACCCATGTTTGCAAAACGAAAATAAACCGCAGTCACACACTGGGATTCAAACTTGCTACCTTTAGGTTACAAAGCTGTTTCGTAACCTATCAGCTATTTACTGAGTCACACCGACTCCAGAGCCCCACCGGCTCTTCCACAGCGTCAGAGCACCGGAGGGCGTCCCCTCCAAACCAAACAGCCCTAGGCTGACCCGCTCTGACCTGGGATGGCGAACCACCCGTTCGCCTCCTGGAAAGCGACTTTTCGCGACTATCTGGGCCCAAGTCTTAAGTTAACTTTCCAGGAACCCGTGTTCCCTATCCCGGAACACAAAACACAAAACTTTCCCGCAGCTGCTAACTGAACAAATAGATACCGTTTCCTTATTAGCTCTTTTCTTATCTCACCTCTATGCTCCGTGCTTGCTTCCGTGGGTTCTGTGGAGCTGGGTTTCTCAGACCGGGGCGGGAATTATCTCAGATAAAAGCCGGCTTGCTGAGGAATATTCCTGCACGATGAAAGTTTCCAGTCTGAAGAAGTCCCGGTCCAGGTCTCCCCAACGTACGGGCCACCAACTGTTGCCGTGGGATTTAGGTGCTGAAAAAATCTCCGGAGCAGTTAATTAGGGGTGAGATAAGAAAGGGTTTTATTTGCCAAGGCTAAGATGTTACCAGACGCGCGCGTGTGTGTACCCCTGTGCCCGAGAGGTTACATTTTATAACATCATCCATCCAATCCCAGATGTATCCACCCTGTGGCCTTTCCTCTGGACCGCCCCGGGGTCCACCCCCTGAAAATGAGTCTGGGGTGCATTTCGGGACCCTCCATTCATCCCATCTTCATCATCATCAGAGCACAAAGGGTACATAGTTATCTAATTCTTGACTTCATTCTGTGGTTTAGGCCCAGATATGCTGTTCTGTCAACTGTCTAGGCCTAACCTTGACAAAAGACTAAACATTTCTATTGGATTCAGGAGTAGGGTTGATATGGGGAGCATAGAATGGGGTAAGAGGGTTAAGGAATGTGTAAACAAGGGTGCTACAGGGAAAAGGGAAAGGAACAAGGGCAAAGAAGAGAGGGTTTCTACTTTCACTGCTTATAAAACTTACAAGTCTTACGAATATTAAAAGAAATAAAAAAACATTAGGGGCTTAAGGCATCACTGTCCAGGGGTTAAGTGAAAGAGAGAGAACTACCCCCTGTCGTTGTGGGGTGAGTTACCTCAATCTCTGCTTCAGGATTGTTCCTTTTTGCTGGCTTTGATCCAGTTGCTTTAATAGAATGACTTTGATAGACTACACTGTCCTAACTTAGTTGGGTTTTAAGAAGGATGCCAGAGGGGCATCCTGGCAAATGAAGTCCCAGAGTTCTCCCCTGCACATGGGCAGTGAGATACCCCATGGTGATTGGTCGGGGAGTCACGTGTTGCTTTGAGGTGCATATATAAACTGTTGTCTCATTTCAATAAAGGGATTTGGTTGCTGAACCTCCAACCTGCCGGGTCCGTATGGGTTTATTTACTATATTATATTAATAAGCCATATCTGGCATCCAGAAATGGGGCACTCCCTGTACCAGGGTGTAACAGGGAAGGGGTTAATATGTCGGGGGAAAAACAGGTTCGAGGGATTCTGGAACGTGAATAAACCAAACACCATTGTTAGTTGGCAAAAAATAGCTATTTATTAGAAAAGGTGGCAAACAGGGAAAAAGGGGAAAAAAAACAGGCGCCTGAGGGAGAAGAATTAGGGTGGATGAAAAAGTGCACAAAAACCCAAGTAAGATAGCTCGACACCCTACTCACCTAGGTGTCACCTGTAAGAAAGTCTTACCCACTCTAACTAGTAATAAAGTCCCTTTGTAGCAGCTGCGTGTTCCGGAGGGGTGGCAGGCTCCCACTTCAGCAGGTGTCCCTGCTAGAAGCAACTTGGTCCATCGTGAAGAGCCAACCAACCACCTCGAGAAACGAGTCTGCCTTTATAAAGTTTATTGAGAGCACCTGCCCCGGGGAGGTGTGGCCAGTACCGCCCCGTCAGGGGCTCTCAATCCCACCCCTTCTGTTATGTAAGTGCACCCCTCCTGCGTATGCGTGAGCACCTTGGAAATCCCCTGACGCAGGCGCAGTGAATTGGGGGGGTCTTTCCAATTGAGTCGGGGGGAGGCCTTCAGCACCATCCTCATCACTTTGTCCTCCAACTGCCCTTGAAGAGCAATGGGCCAATCACAACAGACCAATTAAAACAGTTTACACAGAAGTTCTCCCTCCAAGGCCAAGTTCCCTGCTTTATCAGCAGACTTGGCAGGAGAAAACATAAACTTTTGCAGGTGGCTAGGGACAAACACTGACCAAAAAATAACATCCCAACTTCGTCCCGATACACAGGGATGATTAAAAACTGCCTCAGAACAAGGAGAATTAGGGCAGTGTTCGCACGAGCTTGTTGTAAAGCTGAGGAGCACTTTCTGAAGAAAAAAAAAGCCAGACGTTGCATACTGAGCTAAAAGCGGGTGAAGGAGGTCGTTAAAGAAAGGACGTCGGAAACCAGTGCGAAAAGGAGTGGGATGTCGTGTGGTGGGGACCGTGTTGGGAGTTCTGAGAATCTGAGTATTGTGTGCACGAGAGACCTGGCAGAGTAAGCTTTGAAAGAAAGAAAAGGCAAAGCTACAGGAGAGCCCAGGTAAGAAGTCAGCATGGGAAGTTTAAGTTTAAGGAAAATAGACATAAATGCAAAAGCTTTGAGACAATATTCAAAAGAAACCTTGCAAACCAAGCTACTTGGACCATTACAATGGATAAAAACAATCATATCAGGATTCCTGCTGAGCAGAATCCTTTATGTGACAGCTTGGAAAAAGTTTGGGAGATAGCTCGAGGGAAAGCAAAAATAGAAGATGTGGACACCTTAAAAATCTCACAAAGAAACTTAAACTTGTGCATGGAGAAAAACTTTGAACCTCCTGTTCCCCCCACGAGCCCTAACAGGCAAAGAACTCCCCCAGACACCGGGAACAGACACAGGAATGGGAGAGAACCACATGCGGACAGAGAACCGCGTGCAAACCGACAGGACCCAACAAAGGACTTGGGCTGGGTTTTGCGTGGGCAGGAGCGAGCACGTGGCGTGGACCGTGTGGTTGTTGGGGAGAGACAGACCTTGAGTCCCCCAGACACTGCCGAGTTGCAGCCACGTGGTGGCCACGCCGTGGGTTGGGTGTAGCCATCCTGCCCACGGCCAGCTTGTCGAGTGTCCCAGCTTGAGGAGGCGTGCACTGAACATGTTAACCCGGTAAGCGATGAACCAACAGAGGACACTGGGGAGGGTCGGTTTTGCCATTAACAAGGTAGGGAGATTTTGCCATTAGCAGTTTACCGGTAACTCGAGACTGTTCTCGCTGCGTGGACACTACGTTGGCCGCCTGTGGCTCTCTCAGTCCTCCAACACCTGGGTCCCAGCGACTTTTAGCAGGGTCCTGCAGGGCGAGGGTCCCAGATGCACTCGGCAGTGCCGGAGCAGGGGAACCCCCACCATCCCATGGTCTCCCGTCCCCGTCGGATGATGCAGGTCAGGCTCTAGGAATTTCCTGAGAAAACCAAAGTGACTGTAAAGAGGAGTTATCATTCATGCCATGGCTGGCAGCTTCACTTACCTCCTGGTGGTGCTGAGCATCTTCCTGTGTGTGGTGAGAGCGGGTAATGAGAGAGAAGAGGCCACTCAAGAGCTTCTGTACCAGGATGAGGAGCAGCAGAGGCAGGAGATGGCTTGGCTGCTGCCAGAGATGGAGCAGAGGAGCCAGCTGCTACAGGAGAGGGAGTAGGAGAACCAACTGCTGTTTATTCTCTGGAGTTGATTCTGTTCAGAGCTCACCCCCCCTCTCTGGTGACCCCCGCCAGGGCCCGTCCCGGGGCGGCTCCTTCAGTGCCACGGGCGGTGGGGACCCCTCAGGGAGGCTCCCCCAGGGCCCCGCCCCAGAAAAAGGGAGGGGGGGTAACCCAGGTTTTTATCAATAATTCCCTTGGGGTGGATTAGAGTGAAAAGACACTGAATAATCGGTGTCTGAAAACATATATTGGTAAGGTTTATTTTAACAATTCTGTATCAACAGCTATGCTAGCATTTTGGGTGTTGTCATATAACAATGTGACATAGAGATAACCTTTGGGGGGGAAGAAAATGCATAGGGGAGAGAAAGACAGGGTAAGAGTAAGGGACAGGAAGGAAAAAGAAAAGCTGAGAGTGGACAAAATGTATATAGTCACCGCCCACGGGGTCCAGCGATGACACTTGGGAGTTGCCGCTTCCATGTCTGTCAGTTGAAGGGGTGGCCTTGATCTGCTGGGGGTGAAGGAGGGAAGCCCCCACACGCCAAGAAGTTCAGAGTTATTATATCCATGGTCAGTGTCACGGGCCATGCCTCGAGCCTCCAAACTCTCCCTGGGCCCTGCGCAAGAGTTTATGTGTCTGGTCTGGTTCCAGCCTTTTTACATTGGCAGAGGGGGGATGGGCTTTGATGGGCCATCAGAGGTAGAATGCAACAGTCAAAACCTGCAAACTTGGCTCTTCACTGCAGGGAGGGACAGGCCCAACTGTCCATCTGAGGTATAATGCAAAAGTCAAAATCCTGCAAGAGTCTCCTAGAATGCATGAATCATTAACCATTTCAGTCTCTGACACTCCCCCAGGGCCCCGCCCGCCCCCGCCGCTCCCCGGGGCCCTCCCCATTTCCTGCCGGGATCGGACACCGCCGGCGGCCCCGGCCCTGCTGGGCTCCATCAGCCTGAGGAATTGCTGCCAAGGAGGGGCCGGGGGCTTCCTCTTGGGCTTCCTCTCCCTGGCGCTGGGGCTCGGCTTCTACCTGTGCCAGAAGGTGAGGGGGGTCCCAGGGGTCGTGTGTCCCCCCAGAGCGTCTGTGCCCCCCCCGGGACCCCCCACCCCGGTGTCACCCCCTTGTCTCTCCCCACAGAGCTCCTGAGCCGCCGGCGGCCGCAGCCCCTCCCCAGGGCCTCAGGCCCAGCATGGACCCTCCCCTCCCCACGAGGATTTTGGGGGGGTCGTGTGTCCCCCCCTCCCCTGCTGTCACTCTGCCTCCGCCCGGCTGCTCCCAGTGATCCCAGGAAAGCTTCTCAGTTCTCCCCAGTCTTGGTTATTCGGGAGCAGTGGGGGAATCCCAAGGGGTGGAACCAAGTTTGGGGGGGCAGAACCAGCCCTGTGATCGGTGAGGAATTGGGACCCCCCTGTGTTCCCCCAGTGTCAACCCACCCTGGATGGGCTTTGAGAGGGCACCTGTCCCTCAATGGGCACCCAGCACACACCAAAAGGTGCTGGGAAACCTCCAAAACCTCCCCACAGCCCCTCAAGGACCCCAAGCACACTCAAAGCCCACCGGGTCCCCACCGAATCCCTTTTTTTTGGAGAATTCGCTGGGCACTGGTGGTGCTGGGAGCCCCCCCCGGCTGTGGGGGAGGAGCTCTTGGGTGAGTGGGGGGTGGGAAAGGGGCAGTTGGTGGGAAAAGGGGGGTCAGAGGGGACAAAAGGGGTGGTGGGACCCCAAACTGAGTGGGAGGGGAGTGGGACCCCCCAGAAGTGGAGGGGAAGGGGCACTGTAGTTTGGGGGATGATGGGAATAGGATGGGAGAGGTCAGAAGAGTGGGGAAAGAAGAGGGTGGGACCCTCAAACTGAGCATGAAGGGGCTGGGGAGTGGGGGGATGATGTGGAAGGGGTGGGAAAGGGAAAAAAAATGAAGGGTTGGGACCCCAAAAGTGATCCTGGGCAGGCTGGGGATTGAGGGACAATGGAAAAGTGGGAGGAACAGAGAGAAGGGTGGAAAAGGGAGGGCGGGTCTGGCGGGTCCGACGGTCCCATGGGGGTCCTTGGGCACAGGGGAGCTGGGAAAGGGAGGTGGCCCCCTGACCTCCCAACTTCCTGTGGGGTGCTGGGGGCTGCTGGATCCAATCCCAGCCTTGGATTATCCCAACACTTTCAGTTTGGAGGAATTACAGAGGTGTGACTGAAGCACTTTTGTCCCCCAGGTTTTAATGATGGCAAATAAAATCTATTGATAGAAATGAATTATTTAGGGTTCCAAATGATCAGACAAAAGATCTTCATCAGGATTATTGACTGCACAATACAAACACTAAAACTACCAGGAGTACAGGATAAGATAGGACAGTGCTCTACACTAAAGCAATTGTTGAAGCAATTCTACTGAAGCTGACACAAAAGCAATAATTCTTAGTTACAGATGGATGGAACTCCCCCAGACCAACACTC